CTTCATCTAGTTTGTCTTCATCCTGGAACAAGCTGGTGGAAAGCAGCGTGTTTCGCTCTTGAACTTGGTCTTCAGGACTTTCGTTCTGAGTTTTTGGGCTTCAGGACGCGGCAACTGCTCTGTCGAAGCAGTCTTCCACGGCTGAAATCCAGGCTGGATGCGGGCAAGGATGGTGAACATTATCATAAACCATCTTTGTTTTTGTGAGGTGATTCTTTCTGTAGGATTACTATTAGTTTTCCTGAACCCTGACAACATTGCGCATTGTTCTACAACAAAAACTCATACATTGGAGTTATGCAACAAGCTGCAGCAAAAGCTAGGGGCGTTGTATGAAATAGTTAATCGTCCTGAAGGAAGATTCTCTGAGAAATGCACTTTTACAGTATATGGACAAACAATATCAGACAAGTCATTGCTGACTTCCTCGAGGAGATGAAGTTGCAAGAGTGCCTGCGTTTGATGAAGAAGACCTCGCAGCTCTTCAAGCCCGGCGAGCCCGGCGAGCCCGGTGACCGCACACTTGTTCTGACTACAGAGCTCCAGAAGGACCGGCCAGACTTACCACGCGAGTAGCTCGGATGCCATGCCGACACGAATCGATGTGACACGCCGCGTTTTCACTTTGTCGTTCCTTGTGAACCTGGTGTCATGTCATATCGCTGTGACGGTGTCTCCCTTCACTTTCTGGTGTGAAACGACATCAAGCAAAGCAAGCTGTCTGGCACATTGGTAGACCTGAGTGTGCTAGGTGGACCCGGGTGAAACACTTTTTGAGTTTATTGTGACTCGCCAAGTCGGGCATCCCACAGCCATCATTGAAGGTAGATGTCAGCATTCTTGTCTCCACATATCCCACCAAGGCTACGAATCACTGAGCCAATGGAGAAAATCCTTACGCGCCTGCTGGTGTTTGATTTCCTGTCTGAATCGGCCGGTATTTTCGCTCTCGAGCACTTTGCGGTACATTCGATTCCAATATTGAACATCATCGGAGAGCCTGGAACCAGCAAGACAATGACCTGTCAGGTGGCTGCAGCACTTTTAGGTAGAGATTTTCTTCGAATCAGCTGCTCTTCTTGCACTACGTATGAGGACCTTTTTGGAATGGCCTTGCCTGATACTTCCTCAAAGAATAGCGACAAGAGCATTTTTGTGTTCCGTGAAGGCCTTGTGGCAACTTGTTTGCATGGATTTTCCTTTTGCGTGTGCGCTCTCGGAGATCCTTTCGTTTGTGTTCTCTCAACATATCCAAGTGTTTGTTGAGCTTGTGGTTGGTTCCCAACAAGGTAGAAGCAGTACGAAAGGGTGCTCTCGTCCTCTTGGACGAAGTCAACCTCCTGCATGAGACCTTGCTGGCCCAGATCGCTGAAGTCGTGGGACATTCACAAGTTCTAAATCCAGAAGGCTGCTCCCCAGCCTTGCAGGTGGGCCACGTCCAAAAGGGACAATTTCTTTTGTTCTTGTGCCTTCAAAGACTAAACTTGGCTTAAACAAGGACTAACTTGGGTGACTCATGCTGCAATTATTTTATTGCTTCTGACCAAGCACCCAGTGCTTCTGTAAAAGTGCATTGCCCGTTCAACTATTCAAGATCGCCAAAGAGTTTTTCTTTGACTCGATTTCGAAAAGGTCGCTACGAGTTGTATCACCTTTTCTTGTGCATCACCGACATCTATGCAAACTTGTTACTAGTAGCTTCTTGTTCCTAGTAAGGCCAGGAGCCCCGTTCGTAGCGTCCGATCGCTCCCCTGGAATTTGCTCTTCTCGGTGCCCCACCAGGTGCGCGACGAAGTCCTAAAGTTGCCCCACGATGGGCCTCGGCCGAAGCGGCCCCTCTTCGTGGCAGCGATGAACCCAGTGACGACGGGTGGAGGCCGCAGTGTGCTGCCTCCGTGGTTCCAGGAGTTGCCTGTCGAAAAAGAGGCTTATTGTTTTTGTGGCTGTATCCCAAGCTATTTAGACTATTTAGAGGCCAAGCCTGAGCTTGAGATCCAAAAAGAAGAGACGAACCCATGCCGACGGTTCACACTTTGTACCGGATGAACAAAGGGATTTTTATATCCCAGGGCGCTAGGGTCATTGAGGACTTGTGAACCCCAAAGCTAGTGTTGAAACGCACAGGGCACCACAAGGTAAAGTGCTCTCTAGCAGTTAAACTTGAACGTACGAATGAGTCGCACACCATCAGAGAATTTCAAGCCGAGTGAATGAACTCATCTCAATACCCGAGCCAAACTACAAAGCAGAATTGTATGAATGTTCAGATTGTCCTTCTAAGATGTTCTTCGTCGAGTCTGACCAATCTGAGGCTGACCTGCTCATTGCACGTGAAGGCGCCGAGCGAGGACTTGGCAGAGATCTTGAAGAGCCTCTACATCCCGAAACGAGAGGCGGATGTCGAAACGAGTGAGGCCGTCGAGGCACACATCGGCGCAATCCTGGAGATGGGAGGGCGCAGCGGAGAGGCAAAGTCAGGTCAGCTGAGCCTTCGGGGTTTGCAACGCCTTGCGCGCCTTCATCACTCGCAGTTGGTCGCCCAGAGGAAATGCAGAAAAGAGAAGCAGCAGGACGAGCCGAAGGAGGTCTTAAAGCGCTTCTCGGAAGTTCTTCGCAGTGACCGTGACTTCGAACCCGTGACCCGCGATGGAACGGGCGGAACCGGTGAGTTCTCCGCCGTGGCGAGTTCTCCGAAATGGTTTCAGCAAGTCTTGCCATGGGCCACAGAAGCTGGTCCGTACATTTTACTTAGAGGGCCAGCATGCAGCGGAAAATCCACAGCCATAACAAGCTTTGCGAAGGCACAAGGGAAGGAGCTGGTGAGCATCAATGCCCATGCAGAGACGGCAACCACAGATATACTGGGTTCCTTTATGGTGGATGGGAATGCCTTCCAGGTTGGGGACAAAGTCCAGGTACGGAGCACCTCCAATCCATTGCTGGATGGAAAGAAAGGAGCAGTGTTCAAGCCAAATTCTGCTACTCCCGCAGTCTTGTGGCATTTTAGTTACTAAATCTTCCTCCACTTTGAATAATCATGAGCGTCGACCATCGCGATTGTCTCAGTGTTTAGTAATGTTGATAGCATGGGGATGACCAGTCAATGGGGTGGTGCGCAGGGTTGGGTTACACCCCTGGTGAGGAACAGTCCTGAACTACGATGTGGATAATAAGGTTTGCACCTTGCTGACGGATGCGCGCGTGGAATGCGTGCCCTGTGACGATGTGATGCTTGGCCAGCATGAAACGTGGTGACACGTGAGATGGGTAAACTCGATTTGCAGACTTTTGCTCAGATTGTTCATGTTCCCCAACTGGAGCTCTCAATGATTCAAATGATTCTAAGTATCTCAGAAGTGCTTTTCTTGTTTCTTTCTCGTGTCTCCCAGTCCGGGCTGCTGTGGGTCCCTCCTTCTTGAGGTCATAGGTCTCGGTTGTGGTCCCTTTGCTTTCCTGTGCTTCCTTTTGTTTCATCTCGGGAAGTCTTGTCTTTAAGAGTTTACTAGTTTTTGGATGCTCCTCGAAGCCTTTAGGGTGCTATCTAGGGCTACAATATAACTTGATTTGAGGGACGCTGAGAACATGGTCTGAAGCCTCAAAAGTAGGATAAAAATACCAATTATATATACTATGCAAGATCTGTGGTACGGTTTTCTCGCCGGTGCATTTCGGTTGGGCTGGGGCGATCCTTTTATGTCATGAAGCTGCTCAAAAACCTGTGTGGAAGCTGCTAGTGATAGTGGGGGTCATGAAGCTACAGCTATAGGCTGTATTTTTCACTAGCATCGACTACAAACAGGTGAAGGCAAGCTCCTGAGCGCTTACCTGCGACAACAATCTTAACCTGAAGATCCCCGGCCCAAGCATGCCCTTTGTTGCGCTGCCAAGCATGCTCTTTGCCCACCGCACGGGGGAGACATGAAAGGAGACAAGCAACGAATGATGCCATCACAGCCGCCTAGTACAAGGTCACGAAAGGTAGCTTGAGCTACCTGAGTTCTCCTTGCTTTAGCAAAAATGTATTATAATCAGGAGTTGGGATTGTGCATTGAGTTTGGTCCTGTAAGAGTTGATTCTGTTCGTCGGGGGGGGGCCCCCCCTGGATCAAATCCCCCCTCCGCCGGTTCACGCCGTCATGGACTTTTACCAGGGTTGCTTGTGATTGCCTGCTACCTTTCGTTCACCCTCTCCTCTCTCAAGTTGCATGTCGCCTGCTGGGCTGACAAGTGGTCAAATCTGTCTGTGACGGTCATAGTGTTTGCACGCCAACATTCAGGTGGGTAAACAAGAAGGGAGGCAAGCTTGAGACAAGACATCAGGTCGTGACAGCCACCTGGTGAGGAGGCAAAAAAAGGGAGATCACATCCTGACAACCACCTAGTGGGGAAATAAGAGGGGAGACAAACAAGATGATGGAGCCCTAGTGAGGAGGCAATCGGGCAGACAATCGAGCAGACCAGCCAGGACTCATGCGTGGCAAGATCCATTTCTCTGGAATATTTTTTGTGGAAAAAAGATCAATCCTCGAAGGTTCAGTGCAGGTCAGCAATGGCAGCAATCCATACTTTTTCCCCAACATCTGAATTTGGCTGTTTCTTGTTCTCAAGATGTGGGTGTTTAAGGGATTTTCAAGGTCCAACAGACATGGTTTGAGTTTGCCTCAGGAAGCAGATCGATCCGAAGCGGCGATTGAGCTTTCTCGATGGGCCTTTGCTACGGGCCACGCAATGCGAAAACGCATGGCTGTTGATTGAGAATGTCAACATGGCGCCCCCTGAGGCCATCGAACGCTTCAATTCCCTGGGAGAGTCATTGCCTTGCCAACTACATCTATTGGAGCTGGGCAGCCACGATGGCAAAACGCCCGTTCATCCGGTCAGGACGTCTCACCCGTTCACCCGAGCGTCTTCGTGTTTGGCCACAAGGCCGCGCCCCCCCCCAACTCATTGAAGATACCTCAACAGTTCTGAACTTGTGAGGAGTGACTTTCGGATCTTCTTCACGGCGGACCCGCAAAGGCCAACAGCAAATCGACTATCAGACGCCTTTCTCGATAGATGTACTGTCATAGAGTGCCAAAGCTTCGACAAGCTTTACAAGAAGCGATGTCAAGCAGCCGATGCCAAGTCAGAGATTGAGAACACGTACTTGGAAGCCGTCAAAGGGCTCGGGGTTGTACATGATGTATTTCAACGATCTGAGCTGCTGGCACAGTCCTTGGTCGAGTTGCATGCGGCAGCGCTTCGTGAAGAGCCCAACACACGCCTGTATGTGGCTCAGCACGTGTGCGGTGCGCCACTGACAGCTCGCACCTTGCGAAGGGCGTTGACCTCGATGGAAGCATTTAGTGGTCCAGAAGCAGCGTTGGAGTTGGTCTTTGGTGACTGGGTAAAGTTTGCAGTGTCAGTTTCACAGCAATTTTTGCTGCATCCTTTGTCGGTGTTTTGTGCCTTTAAACCACTGATGCAAACCCTCGAACAACAGGGGACAAGCCTTGGTTACTTCTGTGGTTTGGAAAGACCTTTCCTGAGGCAAAGCGCTCTTGGACAGAGTCGCACACAAGCACGTTCACAAAGTGAGTTTGTGCGCCAAAGGCTTGGGATTCCATGAGGGAAGCGGGCAAGATCTCAGAAGTTTCTTGGAGACTTCTCACGGCCAACGTTACAACAGGATTCTTCGTTCGCTACAAGCCATGGCTGCCAAAGCTCAGGTGCACCAGCAAAGTGTTTTGAACCCGGAGGTCTTGCGACTGAGCATTCCAGAACGCATCACAGTCCGCTTGAAGGCCCAGAGAGTTCCTGACGAGCAGTTTCAACAGTTTCAAGAGTTATGGAATGTTATGGATGGTGATTTATGTTTTTTGTCCTACTCTTGTCCCACCGGAGTGTGAATCACGGGGCCGTGGTTTGTACCACGGTCTTGCAATGCTGTTGGGTCGACACCAACCCAGCAGGACGGGCCCTCACTGCACCTATCGTCGGCCACGGTCGTGGTGAAGCAGCGAGCAAAATTCGAAGCTGGGTATCTGATGGGCAACTTGCAACTGGATGAACAGTCCGATGCTCCGCTGCACTTGGGAAAAAACGACGTCACGCATCCAATCTTTGTGTTGCGGTCGTTTGCCATCGATGCTATCATGACATCGGGTGTCATCGTGGCTTGTGATTGATGTCATTTTGGCTCTGTCGCTGCGGTGTCATTTGGGTAGATCCACTGCGCGCCGCCCAAGCACAAATCAGGAAGCACCACATTCCATGCACCATGCACCATCTTACCTGCCCTATGCTTCACACGTCACAACTTGCCCCATGCTACACTTCACCTCTTCACAGACAAGCAGACTACATTTCGCCACATCACAGAATCATAGATTGCAAGTTCATGTGTGAGCTCTTTTGTATCCACTCGCATGTGGTGTCCTCATATGTGCACTGTATATGTGTGGTCCTCATATGTGCGCTCACATGTGTGCACTCGTACGCGTGCGCGCTCTGCACGCTCATTTGTGTCTCAGCGTTGTGCTTATAGGTGTGCTTGTGTGTATGTGATGGTGTGTCGTCGTATGTGAGTTCACAGGTTTGCTCTCCTCTGTATGTTCTGATTTCGGTTCTCCTGTTTTGCACTTTGTGTGCTGCAGTATGTGTGCTCCTTTGCGTGCTGCGATGTATGTGCTTTCATATGTATACTGTATACAGTCTACTGACTGATATGTGTTCCTTTGAATGGTGATATGTCCGTTGCGGGTGTGTCCTCATGCTTATGCTCCTATGCCCTCTCAGATTTATGCTCTCACATGTGTGGTAGTGTACAGTACACAGATCTTGCAGAGGTCCAACTGCAAGATTGATTCCAAGTTGGGTGTACATCCCCAAACACAAAACCACCACTAGCTATAGCGGTCTTTTACCAGAGTAAAGGATGTCCATGCCTACGAATGCAATGTATATTTAAAGAAGAGCCAAAGGACCGCCTTGTTTTGCAGAATCTAATGGCCATACGAATCACATCCGATTCATGTCCGATTCACAACCGAATCACGCACCTCCACACAGTCTCCCAACCCACATCCTGGGGCCTGGAGAGGGCCACTGGTGTGCAGTGTAGTCAGAAGTTTGGCCAAGGCGGACAGGGTTTGCGAATTCTTTTGGCACCTTCCCTATGGCCGTTTGAATGCCGAGTGGCAGCATGCAAAGGATGAAGAGTTTATCTCACAAGCATTTGCAAAGCCGTTCTTGGAGGCTTTCATTGGTCAGGCAACTGTGGAGGCAGGGTGGTCAAAACTGCATGAGGGTTCAAGGCACGTTGCTGAATGCAGTTTGTTGTTCCCATCCGATAGGATTGAGGTAGATAGTGTTCCTGCAACGTTCCTGGCCCGACCCCATGACCTTTGAACAGGATTTGCTTGTGTCCCAGCAGAATCGCCTGATTCGTACGACCCAGTGACAGGCCTTCCACGCATGGGGTGAGTGTTGGTCCCGCCAGAATCCCACTCCCGTGTTGGCGCCGCCCAACGATCACCCCAGCAACAGCAACAGCAACAATGGAACAACGACGGCAAACACAGCAGCAATGACAATGACCTGAATGCAAACAAAAACAGTTTCAACAACCAACAACAGCAGAATGAGAGCAGCCACAACCTTAGCCACAACAACGAAAGCAACTAAATCGGCAAGAAGATCAGTTTCAACAGCGACAAGAGCCACAACAACAGCAACAGCACCAGCCTCAACCACAATCGGACAACAACAAAGGCCAGGGAAGGCCAGCAGCCAGAGTCGACAGCACTTGATGCCGACAAGGAGCACCTCTAAGGCAACCATATCGAGAGCAGGATCGAGTTTGGGGGAAGTGGGGAGCACCTCCTCAAGGGGAAGTCGCCAAAGCAAGACGACACGTGCTCGACAGCAAGCTGCAACCACAGATTTGCGCCAAGATTTGATACAGCGCTGCATCATTTATCGCTGCTCGATGACGATTCGCACGCTAGATGGTAGCTTGTCGGAGTCTCCATTGTCCAAGCTCCTGCAGTCTTCAGCAGGATGGTAACCGTACCGTTGTTTGTCTCCCTTTGTGAACTGGTTCTGTTTGGCCAAGGGAGTTCAATTGATGTGCCGAATCAACAGTTGAGGTGAGGCATCGTCCTGCAAAATTTGCAACCCAGGTTGGCGAAAATCATGTGAGACACTTCGCTTCTGCATAAGACACCTTCACAAGACACTCTTCTTGTAAACACTTCTTGCACTCTAATGAAACACTTTGCTGACACTCAAATGAGACACGACTCTTTATCCCCTATCCTTCACCTCCCCTACATTGCTTCAAGGTCATGTGCTCTTCCAGCGCTTTCCACCATTTAATTGAGTTGGCTTAATCCTGCAGGGCTGGAAAGCCCTCCCTTTGACTTGGAACATTGGTCTTTCATTCTAGAATGTTTGAACATGCCTCCCGCATTTGATCCAGCTTGTCCTCTGGGCTGACGAGGCCTGAATCTCTGCTGCATTCACGATGGTCAGGCCAGCCAAGAGATAAAGCAGGCACAAGGTTCAGGGCCACTGCTTCACAATAGGTACCACAGCGACAGCGACAGTGAGAGTAACAGCAGCAACAACGACAACGACAACGACAGCCACAGGAACCGCCATAGCAACCACCGGGACCACCACAACTACCACAGCTACAGCGATAGCAACTAGGCAGCAAACGGCAGTAGCAGAACAGCTGACAAAGACAGCACGAAAATTGCCGGCAAAACAGTAGCGACCTCAATGACATCAGCGACAATTGAAGCAGCAATAGCAACGACATGATGAAGGTTAGCAAATGCGTGAATGGTCCCAGCAAACCAGTTTGACTCGGTGGGGGATAGCTTGAGGTGAAGTCATTTGCATGCAGAGTGGCAGCACTGTTAAAGGACGAACATTTCATCTCACAAGCGTTTGCACAAAACTATTGCAGGCTTTCATGGGTAAGGAAGCGGTGCAGGCAGGAGTTTGACCAAACAGGACCAAACGGACGGCGTGCTGAACGTGTTTTGGACCCAAGATTCTGAAACGCCGTCCGTTCAAAACAGGTGCTTCCCGAGGGAGTTCCGGATTGCAAGCAAGTTTCCTTGACAGTGAACTTGGATGAGCTTGCAGATGAACGGCCACATGGCAAGGATTCGGATGCTCGTTTTGGCTTTCATTTCTCCATGGACTTTGCACCTCAGCAGAGATTGACATGCCTGGGATTCACGATGACCGAAGCACATTGCCGAGTGCTCAACAAGGGACCAGAGCGTGAGCCGGATGAGACGGAGAATCAGTTTGCATCATTGTCCGGGCGTTTGGACAGCCATTTGTTACGTGCCGAATGCGAGTTCACGATGACTGTTTGCCGAGCGGCTTCGACCATGAGGGTGGACCAATTGGTCCTCAAGTTTCAAGCGAAAAAGTTGTGGACCCTTTCGTTCAGTGGCCAGCTGGCCAAGGTGATTCTAGAACAGCGAGAAATGGCTCTGAAGCTCTCTGACCTCATGGTGAAAAGGGCCGAGATCACATTTGAATACAAAAAGGAAGCAGAGAAGGAATGGTCTGAGTTTGTGCGGATGGTGCTGCTTGCTTCCCTGCTTGATCATGAGAAGGTCCCTGGCTGGATCGACTGGATCTCATGCTTCTTGAAAAAGGGAGAGGTCTTTTGTGAGAAGATGGCCCTTCGTTCCTCCTCCCTCTACCTGAAGTCGAGCATCGAAAATGCCAGTGGATTCAAAGTCAACCTCGCAACGGAGGCTGAGATGGGCACCGTTGCAACGGCTGAGATGCATCTTCAATCCTTGGAGCTCATCTTTCATCAAGCGAAGGACGGGGTGGTCAAGCTGAGGTCACTTTTGGTCACACTGAGGGGGTTTGGGGGAACTGCTTTAGACTGGTTGGGTGAATGGTGATAGGTGGTGCCAAAGCAGCAACATCAAAGAACGCGTCTTTGTGTGTCATGCTTCTGGGAACTCTGAATGACTGGGACATGGGACCCGAGTCGATGTTCAGGACAAGAGCTCTTTGCTTTTGACTGGCGTTGGGCAGTTTCAGTTCGACTCCAAGACCTTTCAGTCGGATTGGAACTTGCAGATTGATCCACACGATCCGGAAGGAAAGGGACACCAACTCAAAGTGCGACGTGAAACTTTGCGATGCCACTTGCAGAACGAGAGACTTGTGTTCGATGACCTCGATCAGCTTCGGAAGGCCTTTGAGGAGTTGCCACCGGAGTCAGCTTCCAGTCCCACAAAGAAGGATGCGAAAACGGAAAGCAAGCAATTGGAGCCAACCCCACGGACATCCAAGGTTGGGGCAAGAACGTCCACAGCAAGACCGAGTACAAGGCCGAGTGTGAGTACGGATCTGAGGCAGGATTGGAAGCAAAAGGTGAGTGATCTGAAAGTAGACACATGGCAGAACCACTTGAAGGAGCTTCAACCAATCATGGAGGCGACAAGCTTGCGCGAGATTCGTGTCTTGCTTCTTTTGGACCACGAGACCTTTGCAGAACAAGTCTCCGAACGCGCCAAGCAGGAGCTACTCCACATTCTTCTCACTGTGGAACGGCTACGTGGTAAGGTGCAAGGCTGCGTTACAGGCTCAACTTTGCAAGCAGCGAAGCTTCCGGCACCGCTCAAAGGTTTGGAGACGCCGAGAGAGATCTGCCGCGAGTTCTTCCAAGCATTCAACTTCGGACAGTTTGAGGGATCTGCAAGCTCGATAAAGACTGATGAGTCTTTTCATTTTGTGTTGCATCTCACAAAACGCAGTCCGGCTGAATTCGATAAAAGAGCTGTCGAAGAGCTCAAGGAGAAAACTAAGTCCAAAGAGCTTCTCGTGGGTCAGATCTTCATCGCATCCGCCATGACATATGAGCTCGTTTCCAGTGAACCAACACAGGAAAGATTGGACATAAAGCAGATGACATCTCTGCCACACCTATTCTTGGGCTTACTTCTCCGAGCTGAACAGAAAGCTGAGTTGAAAGCCAGACCCAGCCGCGAACTCCGTGAGATTCCGGAAGAGTTGTGCGATTTCAAGCAGTCAGAGACGGCCGGAAAATTCGGCAGCTTTCGACACAAGGTCGAGACCGATGCTTCCACTGATACTTCCAAGAGCTCTTCGAGTACGAAGCTGCAACTTTATACGCGTGCCATGGAGAGAACCATATTCTTTTGTCAAAGTTCCCGTCACCAGATTTATTTTGAGGTACGTGTGAATTGAGGGATCCTAAATGCCCAGGAATTTGCAAAGCACTTTTCACAGATGTTATGCACCGTTCTAGAGTAGATGAGATCACCCTGCAGAGCGAGTGTGCTCAGAGATTAGCATGGAGATGAGATTAGTTCACAGGCAAACATGCACATGTAAACAGAATTCACCAGGTTGTTTGACTTGCCCTCTTAGTTTGTGAGAGAATGTGAGAGATTACTGGATTCTTCAAGGGGATTGCAACAAGTTTCCCACGCCAAGGTGTCTTTCCCGCAGATGCAGTCAAGATTGACTGGGACCACGAAATGAACAAGCTAGAAGCTACCAGCGAAGCCAAGCTCAAGGGCGCTCCGCCAGACACGGACAGGTTTTGGAGCCACGACGAGGATGTTCCTGGGAGGCATTTTCAGAGCCACAGCTTTTTGATCGTTCTTTTTTGAAAGGGGAAGGATGCTCAAACGCATGTGTTTGCAGAGTTTTGGTCGAGATATCTTCCGCGATTTCCTCTGCAATCACCCATTTGAGACCGCTGTTTGGGCTGTTGGCTGTTTGAGATCTCTTCAGGTGCAAGGCTTGGTGGAAAAGTTTCGAGAGCCTTTGCGACAGCTCCCACCGATTCCTCAGCTGAAGTTTCAAGAAGTCTTCCACTCAATGTCATCGTTCGGGTAAATGTTGTGTTAGGCGTTGACCGTTGGTCTACCGGATAGATTTGCAGTTTTGCAGTGTGCTCAGGAACCTTTACACGCAAGTTGCTCCTTCAAAGAAAGGAAAGCTATTGAGCATTCCTGGCCTCATTCAGTTTGTGGCCACTGGTGGAGCCAATCAAAATATTTGGCAAGCTCGAAAACGCGGCGGGAAAGTGGTCAGAAGCATTTCCCTCGTGTGGCTGAGCTTAGATCTTCAAAGGTCTGCCAAACCTAGGTTTTGTGCCTCCAAACCACGTTTTGTTCACAGATTCACCCAGACTTTTTGGAGGCTTTCACATGGTCTTAATGCAGTGAAGCCCACGAGACTTAGGTTGGATCCAGGCACTTTTGCTACAGAAGATCCCGATGAGGACTTCTATGTTGTGGCATTGGCACTTGCACGGGCCTGCAGCGCTGAGAACTTCAGCATTTCAGTGTTCCACCCGGCCTATGGAATGTTGAAGGATCAATCTGCTGGAGAGCATTCCTGGACTGAACATTCTAGGCACTCTGACTGACTTTATATAACTTTTTCTCCACTATTTTGAGGGTGCAAGCACTAGCTAATGGCCTCCATGGAAAAGTACCGTTATTCATTTTTATTCTGTGTACTTCCCCAAAACTGCCGAAATTGCTCATGTCCAGGCGATGCTTCCAGGCCCTTTGCAACAGCAACCTACATGAAGGGCCCTATGAGCTTGTGGGCTCTCTCCTTCGAGCGGCCAAGAAGTTGGTGGGTGATACTCATGCCAAAAAAGCAGAAAGTCCGGACGGCGTCCGGCACTTGCTTCTTTTGACGCGCAACAGCTGCTACGATGCCGGTAGCACACTGGCAGACTTGTGGCGATGGCTGCGCATGAAGCAAATCAGTCCCTGTGCCGTATGCATGGGCATGGCTCACGGGCACCATCCGAACTTCGAGACCTTCGTTCACCTGAAAAGCCCGATGGACTTCTTGGGCCTCACGAAGGCGATCTTCTCGAGCGGCCGGACAGAAGTAACTCCTCCTTTGGAGTTGCTGAAAGAGCCGGAAACCGAAGCTGTGCGCGGACCGGGAGAGTACTACTACAGAGACTTGGCAAGCAGCCTCGGATTTGTTTCTATGATCCAATTGTTTTGGGGTTGGCCTCAGGTCCTATAAATACACTGGAGTAAGGTTACAATTCAAGGATTTCGATTTGACCTCGAAATCGTTTGGCTTCAACGCCCGAATCAATCAGGCGACATGTTCCTCTACGAAAAGCCAAGAGATGTACGTGAAGAAGTTCAGCAAGGACTGGAAGAAGACAGCGAACAGGCCAGTGCTGCTGAGAAGAAAGACAATCATGGTCAGTTCTTCTTGTTGTTTCTTTCACTGAAGGCAAGGGAGGCGGCAGAGTGCTTCACACCGCCAAACTGTGATGAGAGTGTACTGTTGCGTATGAGAGTCTGTGATGAGAGAGTGCGTACCATTGTGTACATCTGTGACCAAGAGAATATGAGTGTATCTCTTCTGCAGGGCGCTTTCAGAGCATAGGGTTTGGTGATGTTCAAGTCTTTTTGCAAGACCGCTGACTAAGCGCAGCTCACACATTGCATCATATTGAAGGTAAGAAGATAGCCCAACTACACACACACACACCACACCTTAAGGCCCCAACGGTTGCAATCGCTGTTTCGTCCATGCACAGCTCGACACCTGGGCTCCCTTGGTATGGCAATCGGGACCTTTCTTGATCGATGCCAGTTGGGTTTAAATGACATGAAGTGGTATTGATGTGCAGTTCTTCAGGCGAAAGAGCAAGGCAATCCTCACGAAGCTTGGCCGCGTTTGCCACCTCGTCCTGACTTTCCCCTAATTAATTACTTTCAATTGATATTTGATAGCATAATCTTTGGACCCTTGTACTGGCCCCAGCAGATTGCCAAGCTTTCAACGTAGCTGGTGCCTAATGCAATGCCGAAGCAAATGGATGTGTCTCAAAATGAAGACTCCCCCGTCAATCATTGCGTTTTCATTTACATTTCCCATCTTGCGGAGCTTTTCAGTGACCTTGCGCATCAATGCCACCGGGGGCTCTCCGAAGAAGTGCTAAGTCTTCCATGCTCAAACACAAAAATCTAAAGCTCAGATGGGTCAGCGGTTAGTGCAAATAGAGCTGGTCTTTTCGTGATGTTTCCATCCCGTTGTGCTCATCAACACAGTCTTTGGGTCTTCAAACTGTATTGTTGATCTAGAGATTGTGGCACCGCATTTGACATTTGTTTTTTTTCTGAAGGTTGAGACACACCCACTGTGAAAACACACCCGCAGGTCCCCGCAAAACCGAAGTACTAGTATGAGAGCAGGTTCCGAGTTTGGCAAGCTAAACCTACCTGCAGTGGTGAGGTGTGGGGCTGGTGCTCGCGGGACGTCGGCAACTCCATCAAGAATGGCACAATCTTCCAGCGCTGTTCTGTTGACAATCGGGTCGACGGAGTGCGGGCAGAAGGGTCTTTGCCACGAGACTCCAAATGCTTTGTGACCTTCAGGAATCGAGCTGAGCTGGCAAAGCACGTCCGAAGTCAAAATCTATGTGTAAGACCAAGTATGCAAACCACAACTCACAAATCTATGTTTTTCCTCACCTTCCTGCCCCTTTGGAAGGTAAACTTTGTAGATGAGTGCCATGCATCAACTTGAGAGTCACAAAATCACTTCAAGTTTAGGTCCAGGAGCAATGATTGTGCTGCGCTGCGGAGCTTCGGTTTCATGGCGTTGTCGTTTCATTCGCCTTTGCAGGATGATTGGCACACATGCGGCAGTGGGTGTTGGCACCAGCGACTGCACACTACATGAAAGCAGCTGGGCGAACACATTCAGTTGGTTGCCTCAACGCTCAAGTGCATCGACATGGCCCTGTAATTTAGAGGTTGACTTTTGTAAGCCCCTTCATCAGGAATGCACGCCATTCACGGCAAAGTTTTGCTGAGTTCCTACAACGCATGACATTCGCTAATGGAAGGACGGTCAAAACGACTGCAGTACCCCAGACAATTCCACACCAAAGTACAGCAACTCGTTTTTGTTGCAGCGCATTTCGGCGTACATGACTCGTTGCAAACAGACACTAATCAGTCAGAGTACGCCTCCGTGGCCAAGCTGCCGCCAGGTGGCCGGACCTACCTCTTTGGCCAAGATGAACACTCCTGGGCGCTTTGCTTCGGCCGAGGGACGAGGAATCAGGTGAAAGCACTCCACAACGGGGTCGGCATCGCAGCGGAAGACGCAGGCGAACACAGCGGAAAGTCGTTGATTTTTCTTTCTGTCCGATGTGTATGGATGCTCGCGACTCGCCACAATGCTATTTAGCAAAATGATGTGAGCCACAACATGCGGTATCATTTTCTGAGATCCTCAATAGAGTCTTCACAACGAGTAGAATTTTGAGGTAAAGCCTCGAAGAATTGACCGAAAAGATGGGATGCTTGTTTGGGGTTGGATGGCATCTATTTCTATCTCCAGACCTTTTGAACCAAGAAACCAGGAGCAGTTTCTTCCTCCTTGTCTCTTCCTTCCTAGAAGTCACTTTTCGCCCGGCCTTTCTGCAACCTCTAGAGGTTCAACGGACTTCACCATTGCCGATGAAGCCATGGCCGCAGTTTGAAGTGGGGGGTGGTTTGTCAGTCCACAAGATTTACATAGATTTACAATTTCTGCCCAAAAGACTTAAAAAGTTGTAGGGGTAAGCTAAGCTGCCATGCATTGCTTGTCATTGACATGAATCTCCACTGCTCAAGTCATTGTTGAGAGGGTTGAATGAACTTCGAGAGCCAGTTCTTTGGTTTTGCTGGTGGTGAACAGTGGTCAACACCTTCACAGGAACTGCATGTGGAACTGTGGAACACTGGTTGGAGAGGAAGCAGTCGAGGCAAATCTTTGTTCACCCTCTTGGGTCTTGGGTGATGCTTTTTGCAATTCTTCATTGCAACTGAGGACTTGTTTCCACGGCTTTGGGGTGGCCTCCAAGTGCATTGAAACCCAAGTCCTTGAACATGTACAAAAAACAAAACTGATGGGCCGGAGCTATGGATCGCTTGACAGGGATGGAGCCGGACTCTCCTTTTGGGCGGATCTCCAAGGCTTGTGCAATTCAGCAGTTTGTGTTTATGAGTGTCTTCAAAGCCAAGCAACTCCAAGGAAGACTTGAACTTTGAATGCATGTCCTTCGCCTTCGACATCACAGCCTCTGGTGAGATGCGGGTGACCTTGCCCAAAGGCAAAAGCCTGACGGTGCCCTTTGGCACCTCGTTTGACTTCCTCAGCCAGAGAATAGATTGGACAAGGCCTAAGGTGGTTGAGCAATGAGGTTACATGTCTCTAACAATGAAGGAGAAGGTTTAGTCCTTTATCCTTTGGTGTTGATCTCAGCACACACGTTGATAGGAAGTAGCAATAATAGTCCCAATGTGCACGCGACTTCGAGAGTAGCTGACGCCTGATGACACAAGAAACTACTTGCAATTACAGTATATGACTGCCTTGATGCCTATCCCAAGACCTGCAGCTGAGGGATCTCACCAGACTTGGAGATCTATGTGGTGGCCTCAACGGTTGAGAACGGCGGCAGGATCACCATTTCCCACCAGGACACTGAGCAGTGAGATTGGAAGAACTATAGGAATTTGGGAAACGAGTGGAATGGGTATCGGTATGAGTACTAGCGGATGGCTTTGACAACCCTGCTAAGGCTTGATCTCTTTTGCGCAGCACCCCAGACCTGATACCACTCAGACGAGACTTGAAAGATATGGTTTGTCCTTGCCGGGAATCGCAGTGAAACAGTTGCATTCACCTCTTATACGAGGATCTGAATCTGCCAGATATCGATTTTTCTGGTACGGAGCTGAGGTGTGTTTTTTCTCACAAACTTCAACCACATCTTGCATGTAGCCCTAAATTTGCATGTGGTCTTCCCTCAAAATGCACTGCCTTCAGCTTACTTTGCTGATGCAGAAAGTTCTGATCAAGGCGTCTTCAGCGTATAATAGCAGTCTCAAAGCCATATACATCCATATATAATGCTCCCAACACTCAGGGGAAGGTACATCATGCTAGTCGACGCAAAAGGGACATGAACAATCTCACCCACTTCTGAAGATTGGAGCAAAGTGTGCAGTTTACCATTCCCTTCAAGCAGTGCTGCTTTTGCTGTGAGTGTACTGCGCCTGGCAAGACCACTGGGCAGTGGCACCAAGAGAATTGAGAACAGTGGCTGTTGCTTGTTGGCATGCCTCTGCGATCTTCTGAGACACCTCCCAGTCCCAGTCCTCGTTGTTTTAACTTAGGAGTGATTTACCCACTGCGAAGCAGCTGGGCTCAGGCTGGACGTTGCACCAGGCTGCAAAGGAGGGCCGGACAGATGTGCTGAAGGCTTTGCTTCAGACTGGAGACGATGAGGAGGGGCTTTGCAAGACGGAACGGTGAGCATCCCGGGTGTTTCTCACACTGCATTTTACGCCGGGCGTCGATCAACTCTGAGGCTTCTAAACTTGGGTCACACAAAGGTGGTTACCCAGTGTTCCACACATTCCAACCTTTTTCTGGTTGCTTTTTTGATTTCTCAATGTTGTGTTGGTGTCCTCCATCGCCCTTGCGAGGACCAGACAGATGATGAAGAAGGCCTGGAGGGGACTTCCTTATGGTGAGTTTAAGACAGTCTAAGCCAAGGCACGTCCAGGCTCATGTCCAAGCTCGGCAAAGAAGTCCAAAAACTCTCCAAGGGCTCCAGGTAAAGAACATTTCTTCGCGTGCACAACAAGAGTGTTCTAGGACTGAACACATCTCTCTAAAGTGTTGCGGGTTGGAAGCTAAAGGTTTTGCGATCTTTCGCGAATGTTCAGGGAATGCTGTATACACCAAGTATCACCAAGTCATGATGCCGACGGCTTCAGGCAGAACTCCCTTGCATTGGGGAGCGCATCATGGCCACACGAACATTGTCAAGGAGCTGCTCGCTGTTGGGGCAGCAAAAGATGTACAAGATAACGAGGGCCAGCTCCTCAGAGACCTTGGCGGAAGTAAAGCACCAATCAACAATTTGTCTGAAGGGTCAGAGCAAGGGTTGACTTGAGTCGCTGGCATTTTTTTGCATAACAGGTTTATATGTGCAACTTGAGAGTTCAAGAAGCTGGAGTGTTCATTTGCTACATCTTCTGATACTCAATTTGTTGCCCAATGTTCTTATCAGGGTGGAAAGTGGCAGAGAACCAAGCTCTTTGGAATTGAAACAGCTGCGCTTCCGATGACAAAGCTTTCAGTCTAATAAAGCTTGTGAGCAGAAGACAACTCAACGAAATAGTTTTGCATTTAGAGCATTTGCGGGTACCATTGGTAAGAGCCTGAAGATTGGTGGTGACAACTACGTCTTGCTGATTCTCAGACCTTCAGAATAGAACGCTGGAGGGTCGAGGTTGTCCGCCTTGCATTCTGCTATAGTTAAAGGAAGTTGCGAAGCATTGGTCTCCATGCTGCATAGCTTATGTATTGCTTCTCAA